TTTCGAAAGGCCATTTTCATTAGATTTTGAAGGCTGCAGATCACGGATTCAGCCTGAGGCTATTCTTTAGGGATGAATAAGTCTATTAAACGTCGATTCGTGCGGAAAATTTCCGGGGCAATTTTTGCCAGATTCAAATAGGGTACCATCACCGATTTCCGGCGATTTTTTGGAAAGTGAATTTTCCTTGGATTTTGAAGGCGGTGGATCACATATTCGGATTTTGAAGGCTGCAGATCACGGATTCAGCCTAAGGCTATTCTTTAGGGATGAATAAGTCAATTGAACGTCGATTCGTGCGGAAAATTTACGGGGCAATTTTTGCCAGATTCAAAAGGGTACCATCACCGATTTCGGGCGATTTTTTGGAAAGTGAATTTTCCTTGGATTTTGAAGGCGGTGGATCACATATTCGGTCTTAGGGTACTCTCCACCAACGATGAAGTCCAGTAAAGGCCGATTTGGGCGGAAATTTGGTCGAATTATTTGGGAGGGCATTTTTGTAATTTTTAGGCGATTTTTTCGAAAGTTCATTTTCCTTAGATTTTGAAGGCTGCAGATCACGGATTCAGCCTGAGGCTATTCTTTAGGGATGAATAAGTCTATTAAACATCGATTCGTGCGGAAAATTTCCGGGGCAATTTTTGCCAGATTCAAAAGGGGTACCATCACCGATTTCGGGCGATTTTTTGGAAAGTGAATTTTCCTTGGATTTTGAAGGCGGTGGATCACAGATTCGGTCTTAGGGTACTCTCCACCAACGATGAAGTCCAGTAAAGGCCAATTTGGGCGGAAATTTGGTCGAATTATTTCGGAGGGCATTTTCGTAATTTTAGGCGATTTTTTCGAAAGGTCATTTTTCTTAGATTTTGAAGGCTGCAGATCACGGATTCAGCCTGAGGCTATTCTTTAGAGATGAATAAGTCTATTAAACATCGATTCGTGCGGAAAATTTTCGGGGCAATTTTTGCCAGATTCAAAAGGGGTACCATCACCGATTTCGGGCGATTTTTTGGAAAGTGAATTTTCCTTGGATTTTGAAGGCGGTGGATCACAGATTCGGTCTTAGGGTACTCTCCACCAACGATGAAGTCCAGTAAAGGCCGATTTGGTCGGAAATTTGGTCGAATTATTTCGGAGGGCATTTTCGTAATTTTTAGGCGATTTTTTCGAAAGGTCATTTTCATTAGATTTTGAAGGCTGCAGATCACGGATTCAGCCTGAGGCTATTCTTTAGGGATGAATAAGTCGATTAAACGTCGATTAGTGCGGAAAATTTCCGGGGCAATTTTTGCCAGATTCAAAAGGGGTACCATCACCGATTTCGGGCGATTTTTTGGAAAGTGAATTTTCCTTGGATTTTGAAGGCGGTGGATCACAGATTCGGTCTTAGGGTACTCTCCACCAACGATGAAGTCCAGTAAAGGCCGATTTGGTCGGAAATTTGGTCGAATTATTTCGGAGGGCATTTTCGTAATTTTTAGGCGATTTTTTCGAAAGGTCATTTTCATTAGATTTTGAAGGCTGCAGATCACGGATTCAGCCTGAGGCTATTCTTTAGGGATGAATAAGTCGATTAAACGTCGATTAGTGCGGAAAATTTCCGGGGCAATTTTTGCCAGATTCCAAAGGGGTACCATCACCGATTTCGGGCGATTTTTTGGAAAGTGAATTTTCCTTGGATTTTGAAGGCGGTGGATCACAGATTCGGCCTTAGGGTACTCTCCACCAACGATGAAGTCCAGTAAAGGCCGATTTGGGCGGAAATTTGGTCGAATTATTTCGGAGGGCATTTTCGTAATTTTTAGGCGATTTTTTCGAAAGGCCATTTTCATTAGATTTTGAAGGCTGCAGATCACGGATTCAGCCTGAGGCTATTCTTTAGGGATGAATAAGTCTATTAAACGTCGATTCGTGCGGAAAATTTCCGGGGCAATTTTTGCCAGATTCAAATAGGGTACCATCACCGATTTCCGGCGATTTTTTGGAAAGTGAATTTTCCTTGGATTTTGAAGGCGGTGGATCACATATTCGGATTTTGAAGGCTGCAGATCACGGATTCAGCCTAAGGCTATTCTTTAGGGATGAATAAGTCAATTGAACGTCGATTCGTGCGGAAAATTTACGGGGCAATTTTTGCCAGATTCAAAAGGGTACCATCACCGATTTCGGGCGATTTTTTGGAAAGTGAATTTTCCTTGGATTTTGAAGGCGGTGGATCACATATTCGGTCTTAGGGTACTCTCCACCAACGATGAAGTCCAGTAAAGGCCGGTTTGGGCGGAAATTTGGTCGAATTATTTCGGAGGGCATTTAAGTAATTTTTAGGCGATTTTTTCGAAAGGCCATTTTCATTAGATTTTGAAGGCTGCAGATCACGGATTCAGCCTGAGGCTATTCTTTAGGGATGAATAAGTCTATTAAACGTCGATTCGTGCGGAAAATTTACGGGGCAATTTTTGCCAGATTCAAAAGGGTACCATCACCGATTTCGGGTGATTTTTTGGAAAGTGAATTTTCCTTGGATTTTGAAGGCGGTGGATCACAGATTCGGCCTTAGGGTACTCTCCACCAACGATGAAGTCTAGTAAAGGCCAATTTGGGCGGAAATTTGGTCGAATTATTCCGGAGGGCATTTTCGTAATTTTTAGGCGATTTTTTCGAAAGGCCATTTTCATTAGATTTTGAAGGCTGCAGATCACGGATTCAGCCTGAGGCTATTCTTTAGGGATGAATAAGTCTATTAAACGTCGATTAGTGCGGAAAATTTCCGGGGCAATTTTTGCCAGATTCCAAAGGGGGTACCATCACCGATTTCGGGCGATTTTTTGGAAAGTGAATTTTCCTTGGATTTTGAAGGCGGTGGATCACAGATTCGGTCTTAGGGTACTCTCCACCAACGATGAAGTCCAGTAAAGGCCGATTTGGGCGGAAATTTGGTCGAATTATTTCGGAGGGCATTTTTGTAATTTTTAGGCGATTTTTTCGAAAGTTCATTTTCCTTAGATTTTGAAGGCTGCAGATCACGGATTCAGCCTGAGGCTATTCTTTAGGGATGAATAAGTCTATTAAACATCGATTCGTGCGGAAAATTTCCGGGGCAATTTTTGCCAGATTCAAAAGGGGTACCATCACCGATTTCGGGCGATTTTTTGGAAAGTGAATTTTCCTTGGATTTTGAAGGCGGTGGATCACAGATTCGGTCTTAGGGTACTCTCCACCAACGATGAAGTCCAGTAAAGGCCAATTTGGGCGGAAATTTGGTCGAATTATTTCGGAGGGCATTTTCGTAATTTTTAGGCGATTTTTTCGAAAGGTCATTTTCCTTAGATTTTGAAGGCTGCAGATCACGGATTCAGCCCGAGGCTATTCTTTAGAGATGAATAAGTCTATTAAACATCGATTCGTGCGGAAAATTTTCGGGGCAATTTTTGCCAGATTCAAAAGGGGTACCATCACCGATTTCGGGCGATTTTTTGGAAAGTGAATTTTCCTTGGATTTTGAAGGCGGTGGATCACAGATTCGGTCTTAGGGTACTCTCCACCAACGATGAAGTCCAGTAAAGGCCGATTTGGTCGGAAATTTGGTCGAATTATTTCGGAGGGCATTTTCGTAATTTTTAGGCGATTTTTTCGAAAGGTCATTTTCATTAGATTTTGAAGGCTGCAGATCACGGATTCAGCCTGAGGCTATTCTTTAGGGATGAATAAGTCGATTAAACGTCGATTAGTGCGGAAAATTTCCGGGGCAATTTTTGCCAGATTCCAAAGGGGTACCATCACCGATTTCGGGCGATTTTTTGGAAAGTGAATTTTCCTTGGATTTTGAAGGCGGTGGATCACAGATTCGGCCTTAGGGTACTCTCCACCAACGATGAAGTCCAGTAAAGGCCGATTTGGGCGGAAATTTGGTCGAATTATTTCGGAGGGCATTTTCGTAATTTTTAGGCGATTTTTTCGAAAGGCCATTTTCATTATTTTGAAAGCTGCAGAAACTATAGATTTATCCACTAAAAAAATTTAGGGTAAAACCCACTAGATTTGAAAAACCCAAACCGTTGGGTATTCGCAGGTTTATGGGTACCCATGAGTTCATGTACAAAGATGCAATTACACTAGTTTTCACTATTATTGTATTGTCTACTATGTACACACTAACTCACAAATCATTCATACTAATTGTTCAATATAATAATAAATATCTACAAACAATATGATTAATTGAAAATGTGAGGAATAAGTTTACAAATTATAGTTAGTTAGTAAAGGGTTTCGTGGGTCTTTGGGGGTATGGACCTGGATGCGGATATCCACGGGTTGGATATGGCTTAAACCCAAACCCAACCCGCAAAAAATATAGCGGTGTGGAGGGAAACGACTTTCTATGGGTCATTTTCAGGCTTCAACATTGGCTTCGGTCAGGCCTGGTCCAATCGACCATTCCGACTACGGCTTGAAAACACTAGTCAAGGGTTGAGACTCAAAACTTGTGTTTCTAACTCGAACCCAGTTTGAGCGCTTACTGTTGACAAGTGAGCCACCTTAAGATTGACCCAACTTAAAGAAAGAACTCATAAGAATTCATTACACATCAATGAAATTTATTTTCCTTAAAAGCATGTGTCATACATATATCTATTGCTAAGTTTGTTTGACCATATCTAGAAGGGTTCATCACCTATTTGAATGTGATTGATATAATTCATACAGTTCTATCAAGTTGGAAGGTCAACATATATCTTATAACAACTAAAATTATATTGCACAATTAAATTCGCACTCTCGTTTAACTTATATAAAGCAGATAATCCTTTTTCATCAATTATACTAATTTGTTGCATATTAGAATGCCGATTTACCTTGCTTTCTAACAAAAATCTAATTTAAAACAGAGTAAAATATATTTTATTTTGAAATCTCAATATAAATGTTTAGACATTAAAATCATATTAAATCACCCACGTATTCCAAACGTGTGGGTTTGATGGCCGACTAAAAGTTTCCAGTCAACCAGCTCCCAGTTGGCTGAAACTCTCTTCATATTAAATCAAACCAAAAAGAAAAGCTCTAGAAGAAGAAATTAAAATACAGAGATTTAGGTCTGTCAGTAGCTGCTGTACACTAGTTCTTGCCCAGCTAACAGAAGTGCCTTCTTTCCTCGACTCACATTAGTGTTTTTTCCCCTAAGTGCCTTGGAATACAAGATAGTCCCCCCTCAATACACTACACTATATACAGAAAAATTTGCCCTAGTGTTATAAATATACAGTAACAGCATTACTACAGGTAGCTAACTAGCAAGGGAAAAGAGAAAAAGAAGGGTCAACATGAACCCTCCTCCCTACAAAACTGATCCTGCTCAATTTACTCCTACACCACAGCAACTGCTCCGTTGTTATTTTCGACATGTTAAGAACCCTGGCAACCAGCTTCATGTCCACTTGACAGAAGAAGTACAGCACATTATCCGACGACGGACTACTACTATCTTCATCGTCGTGTTTCTGCTGCTTCTTCTGAAACTTTCTCAGTATGCAACTACCACTCCTCATCATCTCCTTCAACCTCTTTTCCTTCTGCAAGAATGGAGAGGCAGGGAGGCATCACTTTTTAGTTTGTTATTAACCAATAGACTTGTAAAGACTGCAACTTTGTTAAGCAAAGAGGGGGAAGTAATGACCTTTTGAAGATTTGTGTGGACTTCTGAGAGCAACTCGAGATGAGCAGGATCTTCACGAGGCTCTATTTGAGTTCCTTTCTTCCCGGTATTGAAATGTTTTGCAGTATGTGAGTCTTTATCGGCTCGAATGAATCTCCACATGATTCTGATTGATTCCTCCATTATCTCCACCAGCTGGTCGCTTGTAATCGCCCCACCGTCCTTCCCTCTTATTCTTCTTCTTGCCTTCTTATCCTTGCTCCCGTCCTCTGCACATCCCACAATGCAATTTTAGTTCCTACTTCGTGATCCTAAACCAGAACACACACAACGAACAAAAAGGGGGAGGAATCTTTGTTTCTCTTACCTCTAATGACAGGAACTTGGAGCAAATTCCGCATCACAACACGCTTCTTGACATAGTTCTGCAACCTCGGGCCTTCAAAAGGCTCGTTCTCGATGAACCTTTGCAGCAGTACCTGGAACTGCTGGAACTCGCCTGCGACTTCGTTGTATATCCTCGTACCAAAATGGTCAGAATCGTAGAGCTCTAATGCTTTCTGGTACTGCCAATGTAGGATTTCCCAAGAGAGGCACATTTGTCCAACGTACACTGTTTCTAACACACCCTGCAATTCCTTCATGAAATTTGCCATTGGATCAGAAATGGACTTCTTGCGCTTGAGTAGCATCAGCTTCTGTGTGAAAAGGGTTCCCAAAGCTGAAGCCTCAATTTTCTTACTTGCTGACGTGGATTGAAAAGGGTCCTCGGACTGCAGAAAACCTGTTTAGTTGACCATGGAAAGTGAACCTTGCATTACAATCCAAAGAATGATAATAAAGTGATATCTGATGGAATTAGGCACCCAAATAAGCTATCATACCAACGGAAAAAAAGGAGATTAGCTTTTACAAAGCACTCGTAATGAGTATAAAGCAAACCAAATGATGCAGCCCACCTGAAAGCTAAACAGTGTTGGTCGAAGATTAGATTGCAAATTGTGTTACACATGAATTCCAAAAACCATATTTCTATAGATTGGATGGTAAGAATGTGTGCAATGTTAGAATACAGTGTTTTCGCTTGTCTTGATTGTACTGGTGACCCTGTACAATTGAATGTAATGTTAATAATCTTGAGATCCTGTTACAAAACACATGAATTGGAGATGCAATACATGATTATCATACCAAATTCAGAGAGGAAAACTAATCAAATGTCAGAAACCATGTTTTTCAGAATCTCTAGTTACCAAACTAGGAATGAGACAATATGGATCCTCGACATGCTCTTTCTACTAAAACCTCATGCATAATGATTTTACTTTTACTTGCTAGTGTGTGACTTATACAATCTTTTCTGAAGTTCTTTCACTGTACATAAAGCTGTTAACTTTCTGCAACAGATCTTACGGCAATGTTTCTGAAACAAAATTTAATGCAAAATAAGTAGTTCCTTACTTGTTGCATACATCTTCTGGTAATTCAAGATATCGAACTTGCGCATTCTTTCCCTGTAGCTCTTGTAGAACTTGTGAAGCTCACTCATCCTATCTTCGTGGTGGAACTTCTCCTCGATCTTCCATGGCTTCAAATCTTCCATCACGATCTTTGGACACTCATCGTCTTCCAAAATGGTTGGAAGGCCAGTTGCCTTAACATTCTTCAGCTCCATTTTCAGCTGCTCTATTAATTCTTGATGCTCCCACAATATCTCCAACCCATTACTAGTGTCCTCAGAGTCCCAACCAGATGGATCATCCTTTGAATCAGACTTAAAATGATCATCTTTACCACTCTTTGGATCATTTACACCGGAACCCACTGCAGGTTGCGATTCTTCATCTTCGAGATCATCGACACCCTCCTCGTAGTTCAAGCTGTTGAGAAAATTCATCATTCCCTCTTTTTCAGAATCGCAATCTGAAAAGAACCCGTCATCGTCACTGGTTGAGCAGAGGGAACGGCTCATGAATCCACTGCTGGAAGCTATCGACTCCAAGTCCATTTCATCACCCATGAATAAATCCTCAGGTGGCAGCTCAAAATCAACTGTCTTGTTCCCTTTGCTGATTGAAGCCTCTTGATCAAATGATTCCGCCTCAGTTGCAGCATCGTCATTAGATGGAAGAACATCAACTGGAATCTCTTCTACCTTCTTGTCAACAAGAAATTCCGGCTCAACAACTTTGGAAACTTCGCCGGCGGCTGCAAATCCCTCATCGGAACCGAGAAAACACTCCTTCACGGTGAGGCGAACGGCTTCCGGCTCCTCCACATAGTGACTAAAATCCTTTCCGGACAAGAATTCGTACTTACTAGTAGTTGAAGCGGTGGGTATAGAGTCCAACGGAGAAGAAGGCTCGAATTCAATCTGTTCTTGCTCTTCTTCTTCTTTTCTGTAGCTCTGGTACTCGAATTTGAACACGAATTTGGGCGACTTCTTCTCATCCCCTGAATCATCCTCCTCTTCCGTGACTACTCCTCTACATTCAGAAACGTCCGACCCCGTTTCAATAACAGGTTTCGGCACCGTTTCAAGCAGCTCCTCTGGCTCTACAAAGTCTATATTCAGAAACGGCACGACTTTGGGAGACTTGTCATCCCCTGAATCACCATCTCTATATTCAGAAACGTCCGACTCTGCTTCAATTTCAGGATCAACCCCCATTTCAGGCAGCTCCTTGGGTTCTACAAAGTCGGAGCTTTTCGCTACAGAAACGGCGGCACCACTGGTTTCGGTTCTTGTACCAGAAAAGAATCGAGATTTACTAACAAATCGAGTAATCTAAGGAAGAAAAACCGGAACCCATGAAAGGAAGAAATTGCGTGAGCTACCTGCTGAGAACCCTGGTGGTGGTTCCGGTGAGGAAGCGAAACAGAGCAAGGAACAGAGTGGAGAAGCAAACCCAGAAATAGGCCGCAAAAAGAAGCAATTTCCGGGTACCGGAAGCAGAAGAGCCCATCCCCAACCCCATGATTCGTCGCTCTGAAAGGGGTTTGGTGGGGGAAGAAACATGGTTGCCGCAACCAACCATTCATTCAATATAACCTTCCCAATCCTCTTCCTTGTTTCATCTCGAAGAGAAGGGGGGCGAAACAGAGCAAGCAAGAGTCCAGAATAGTATGATTTCCGAGTTTGAATTTCCTCGACTCTCTCCGAATAGACTGGTCACCAAAGGGATGAGGAACGCGGATGTCAAAGAGCGGAGAAAGAGAAAGCAAAACCCCCTACAAAATCCTGCACGAGGGGGGATTTGGAGGGAAAGATGAGAGAAGTTGAAGTCTGACCTAATTAATTTATGAAAAGGAGATTTGCTTTCATGGGATAAACCAGCTTTGGTTGCTCTGTTAATTGTGGACGTGGTTATAATAAAATACAAAGGAGGGCGGTGGCAGCCTGGCAGGTAATGTGAGAACAGATAAAAGTTTTGCCATTTGCGATGCCTATTGCCCATTGGAATGGCAAATTTATGAGCCGTGTTGAAGTGGAAAAACTCAAAACATTTATTCCATTCCATAGAGCCAGGGGTTGGAGCTTCTTGGAAGCCCAACACTGGGTTTTCTTGTCCTTTTATACTGACAAATGTAACTCTGATGCTTCAATTATCGATTCTTTCTTCTTGTAAACTCCACTTCACCCTTATTTTGTCTCTTTCACACTACAGATGATCCACATTAATGGTAGGGATGGCAACAAAACTCGAATCCAAGGGTACCCATCCGACCCAACTCGGTCAAAGCGAGTAAAATCCGTGTTGACGGGTTTTGGGCCAGGTTTGGGTTTAAACTCATTCACTATTCACCGGGTTGGGTTGGGTTTGGGTTTAGATAAACCCGACCCATGGGTATCCGTCCACACCCATATAATTAATTTTCTCAGTATATTTAATATTATAAACAACTAATCTTATTTATGTTTGTGGAGACATGTCTAATTTTTTCTTTCTAATTGTGTAGAATGAAGTTGATGTTATCGAGTGGAGAGTGAAGAAAATTAATTGAAAGGAAGAAGCTTTCAATTAATCATGTTATTTATGGATAATTTGTGATTTGCTTCAATTTACTTGAGTTTTCTAGATTGGTGTTGAACAATTTATATAGTTAATTTGTGATTTGCTTGAATTTACCATAATGTTGTTTTATATATGGATAATTTGTATTGAGAGATTGATATTTGACTTTAATTTTGATAGGAACTTGTTATTGTAAATTTTTTACGACAAAAAACCGTGGGTACCCATGAACCCGCGGATACCCAGCGGGTTGGGTTGGGTTTAAGTTTTTCAAACCCATTGAATTTTACCCCGGGTTTTTTTTATGAATAAACCCATGGGTTTGGGTTTGACAAAACCCGACCTAACCCGACCCATTGTCATCCCTAATTAATGGGTTATCTTCTATCATCTATTCCAGATATTTGACGTCAAGTTTTTTTTTATATAAGGGTGATATAGGTTCATTTTGTTGATATTAAGGAACTACTTAAGGGATTCGAACCTAGGACCTCCAGGTTCTAGGCTAGTGGTATTACCACTAGGCCAAGCCCTTGTTCGGGATATTTGACGTCAAGTTAAACCGCTGTATTCTTTGGTGCCGGCCGTCGGCGATAAAAAGCGCATGGAGGATTGCACAAGGTGGTTGAAGCAAAATCGGTTTGGTGTCACCCCTCAACTACTATTTACGGTCGATTTCTTATCGATTTCTCGTTATAAACCGAAACCAATTACACACAACCGGTTTGAGATAAAAAAAAATTCATAATCGACATATCATTATCGATTTGGTTTCGGTTTAAACAGAAAAAGCAAAACCAATACCCTAGCCCTAAATAGGGGTTTGTGCTTTCAACACATTAATTACCTAACTAATTTGCCATCACTATCTTCTAATCGGTTGAATTACTAACCTAAATGAAGAATTCTCATTATGGTTGGCATCGTGCCAACCCCTATGCGATTGACACCATAATCGATTCCCTTATCTTTCCCAAATCCATAGCTTATTACTTCTTGATTCAATAACCATACGAATTGAATATCCATTGGTTGATCACTTGCTTGCTCTCTATCGATCCATAGATGCTCGACATCTGTACAGAAAAAAGTCGGTAAAAGACTCAAATCGACAGCCTAAGCCAAGTAGTCCATGATGATTCAACTTCAATTACCATACATCAAAGTCGATGGATGGATAGACCGGACAAGTGGAATAGAATTAGTAGATTAACCCAATATACTTCTGGCCCGGCCCGGTGACATCTGAAACTTCTTTTTCTTTCGTTGAAGGACTATGGGTTCGTTCATCGGGCCCAATCCGTTGTTTGGTCTCAGGGTCAGGGGACCACGCTATTGTGGAGTGAATAAAAACAAAAGGAAGAAAGAAACGCGGGCCTTTGTAGTAAATAGACGTGGGCCGGGAAAATTATTGGAAAACGAAGGAGGTCAGTAGATCACGCACGTCTGTTGCAGCCTGCAGGGCATGGAGGGAGGAATGCAAATGCATGGGGTTGAGAAGAAGGGAGGAAGATGGAATTTCTATACTTGGAGAAATAAAACATTTTATCTATGTATTCATAATCAAATACGAGTCCAACTGTCTCATTTATGATATTTAATCTATTGGTATATATATATCGTAGATCAATTAGTACACGATTTTGTCCGCTAAAGGCCAAACTCGCACGGTTTTACTTTTGGGTTCCTTCCCAAAAGGCCTCGTATTAATGAGCTTGGTGAAGACTAATATACAAGGGTTCATTCCCTTGTATTTTCGATGTGATACTTGGATTGTCCCATAACAATCCTCCCCTCGAGGCAAGGACCACGAACTTTGTGTCCTCTACTCAGAGATTATCTTGATCCGCCAGACGCCTTGTATCGATGGGCTTCTCGGTAAAAGAATATTACCAGACGCAGAACTCTCTTTGATCTTCTTCCCAATTGTGAAACTCTCTTTGATCCGCCAAAGCCACCTTTGACCCGTCAGACAAACGCATATCTCAAATCCTGAGGTCCACCGAATGAGGGTCCACCAAACTGACGTCCACCGCCCCGAATCCGCCGAACTAGGCTTTGATACCACTTGTCAAATCAGGGTGCTCAGTACGCTTTGGGTCAAGCCCAAACAGATTTACTCTGAAGTGTCCTCCCCAAAAGGCCTAATGCTAATTGGGCAAGGTGGACACTAATATACAAGAGTCCCTTCCCTTGTATTACCGATGTGGTACTTTGATTGTCACATAACAGTGTGTATATTCCATGTTTGGTCACTGAGTTTACTAAAAAGTGTCATGTTTAGACATTAGAAATATTTAATTTCAATGTTGGTCACTCAAATTAGTTAAACAGTCCATGTTTGGTCACTCGAATAAATCAAACAGCTCGTGTTTGGTCACTCAAATTAGTCAAAAAGTCCATGTTTGGTCTGTTGGTCACTCGAATTAGTCAAACAATCCATCGGAGAGTGATTAAACATGGACTGTTTGCCTGATTGAGTGACCATACATGGATTGTTTTATTAATTCGAATGACCAACATTAAAATTAAATATTTCTAGAGACTAAACCTGACACTTTTTAGTAAACCCAGTGAACAAACATGGAATTTACCCCTATATCTTAGGTTGTTTTACATTAGTATTATCAAAGCCTCATAAGCAGTGTAAAATCAATATAAGCAAGAGAAACCTTGTATTTAATTAGAATACAAGATTAATCTTTATAGATTTGCTTGAAACACAAAACTTTCTCACTGGATAATCAACTATGCAACAACGAATTTGAGTTGTGTGTTAATCTACTGAAACAACTAGCTCTCCACGTCATCAAGTTTCTAGATGAAGAAGCCCCTCAGCAAAGACGAAAGGGTCAAAGGGGACATGGACATAAATGATACTACACATACTTACTTAATGAACATGCAATCAAAGAGATCCATCGGAAAAAAAAACTGTTTGTAATTAGGCGCAAAATCTTCTTTCTTCATAGGCCATAGCGTTTGCAATTGCATGTGGGCAATGAAGAGGTTTACTGTGGGATTTCAGTTCATTCGCCAATCCATGTGTTCTCTCGTTGTAATAATAGACATCCATGCATGATCACCATAATTATGTACATGCCATATTATTGTTGAATTATTGGTGCACCCAAATGTAACGTATTTTCCCTTCACATATTATATCTTTGTGTTTTACTTGCAGGAAAATTTCGGTGGAAATGGGATGTGCATATATCTTTATAATCCTTTTATTTATTTATTAATCTCTGTTGCTTTCCAATGACAATCACTGGTATATATGTGTGTGTCAGAATGCATGTAAATGATTTTAGTGCTCACCTATCCCTCTTGATGTCGAATCCGGCCATTCATGCATGAGACGTTTGACAATTCAAGAGATCTCGTTTCTGGTATTTGCACCAACCATATATCTTGATAGTTGAACATATAGATTTCGTAAGAAAAAAAAGTCATAAATGATCAATGGTATCCGCATTGAAATGGTGACTAACATTGTGAAGAACAAGTTGAGTTGTGTAACTTGGAGAGAGTTATATTGACTTTGAAGTTGGTTGTTAGATTAGATTCATAGATAGTTGATGCAAGTTGGATTCGACATCAGTAATATTATTGATAACAAAAAAGTAACATTGAAGCGAGTGAAATTACAAATTGATCGAAGGGTTGATTGACGAGGCATGCTAATATGCTCCAATTATCCATCCAATCAAGCTACTGGTGGACAAGTTTCAAGAGTTCAACATTAGAAACATTTATAAAGAGCAAGCCGAATTATAAATGGTCCTCCCAGGTTAATTAGATAAATTAATGCGTTAATTAATATATATAAAACTGGAGTTAGGTTATTGTTGCCTAACAATTTATATTTTGATACCTCAAATTTAGTTAAATTACAACTAAGTCACTATAATGTAAATTTTACATTTTGATACCCCAAATTTAATTTTAATATTAAATCATTGAACAATTATGTTTCGGTATCTAAATTTTTATGAGGTTTATATTTTGATACCTCAAATTTAATTTAATTACAACTAAGTCACTATAATATAAATTTTACATTTTGATATCCCAAATTTAATTTTAATATAAAATCATTGAAAAATTATATTTTGGTATCTAAATTTTATGATATTTATATTTAATATATATAACTGAAGTTAGGTTACTATTGCCTAACAATTTACATTTTATATAGGTAACAAAGGTAAATTATGATTCATGGATAGTCATGGATACGCGAAATATTGGATGTGGATATGATTTTAGTTTTCTACCCGATTCTTGTGTAGATACAAGTATGGGTAAAACAAGAACTATTTGGGTAAGGGAATATAACTATTTGAGGATCGAGAAAAAATCAGATAGGAGAGGGATTAGAGAGAGAGGTGTAAACAAAAGATGGGCGAGACTCAAATCCCATTATTATTTAGAAAAAAAAAAGGCTGAAATTGATTTGTTATACAGATCGATATAAAAAGATTAGTGGTTATCTCCTAAAACTCAAATTTGCCGTGCCAAAACGCGGAATCACAACCTAGTAACTTTAATTAGTCATGAGCTACTTAATTAATCGAAACGCATCCTCTGAGCAAAACAAAGTAGCTAAGCTAGCTAAAGTACATGGACAGAAAATGACAAGACAGTTTACAAAAGTCAAGCTCAAGATGAGTCCAATTTAAGTCTTAAGGAATATAATGGCAAATATAATCTCTCCTCATTATTAAAGGGTGGAAAAAGTCCTTGGGGATATTGCGGGCGGCATTATACAATCTTGCTGTGCCTGCCAGCCAGCCACCACCATCATCCTTTCTTCTTCTTCTTCTTCGTCTTCTCGCTCATATTAACTGCACATGCAAGCAGCATGCAGCAGCAGCAGGATTATGATCACCACAATCACCAACTCAAACCTCCATTATTAACATCACCAACCAACCAGAGAGCTTTGTGTCGACACTCGACACTAGTACCCTAGCTAGCTAGTGTAGAAAACAGGAAAAAAGAAAGCTTATAATCAGAATCAGCCCTTTCCAATTGAATTAAGAGAAGCCTTAGCCTCTCTCTCTCTCTCGCTCTGAAATTGAATGCTGCAGCAGCAAGGCCACATTGAATGCCCACGCGGTTTCGAAAGAGCATTGGTCTCTCACGCAGCTGACTTTGGCCTCCACTCCCCTCATTATGCATCCCATTTTTTGCTGTCATTTTAACTCTCTTTTCTCTTCCTCTGCCGCCACCCCACACACCCTTTTCCACTCTGTCTCTTTCTCCTTCCCTATTTACTAATGTCAGCATTTGGGCAATGTGCTCTCTATAAATGCACTTTCACCGTTTCTCCCTTCCTTTCCAACCCAACTCCCTCTCACAAGTCACAGACTCACAGACAGTACCCTTTAGAATCCACCTGCGCATCTCAGCAAGCAAGCAATCTGCTTTCTTTCTCCAAACAAGCAACAAGAAGAAGAGAAAGGTGAGGAAGCCAATTAGAAGAAGGGGAAGGATCTGATCTGATCTGAAGAATGGGGAGACCACCATGCTGTGACAAGGCTGGGGTGAAGAAAGGCCCATGGACTCCTGAAGAGGACATCCTCCTCGTCTCTTACATTCAGGAGCACGGCCCTGGCAACTGGAGAGCCGTCCCCACCCACACTGGTACTTTTTTTTTCTTCTGCCATACTCATTGCTGATTTCTGTGTAATGAACCATAAAAGTTGGTCACTAAAGAAACCAGCCGGTTGCAATGGATACCGCTTTCTGAAGACTAATGTGTTGGTTCAATGGATTTCCATCAATTTTTTGCAGGGCTGCTGAGATGCAGCAAAAGCTGCCGGCTTCGATGGACTAATTACCTCCGTCCAGGGATCAAGCGCGGCAACTTCACTGACCACGAAGAGAAGATGATCATCCATCTCCAAGCCCTTCTTGGAAACAGGTACCTAGAGCTAGCTACATTCCCTTAATTAATCACTAATCGAAACCAATTTGATTAAATTACCAAATCCCAGGGAATTAAGAATGTCTGTTCCCACTTAATTAATTAAATAATCCGACTTTCGAATTTGGGGGCAGATGGGCAGCCATAGCTTCGTACCTCCCGGAGCGAACGGACAACGACATCAAGAACTACTGGAACACCCACCTCAAGAAGAAGCTCACGATGATGAACAATAGCGATTCCTCTTCTCCGTCGGCCTCGCTCGTCGGCTCGCCGTCCCCTTCCTCGTCGGCTGATTCATCGATCTCGCCTTCCAAGAAATCTACGAAACCCTCGAGAGGCCAATGGGAGAGAAGGCTTCAATCCGACATCCACACCGCCCGCCGCGCCCTCTCCCACGCCATATCTCCCCCGCCGACGGCATCCTCCTCCTCCTCGACGTACGCGTCCAGCGCCGACAATATCGCCAGGTTGCTTAAAGGCTGGATGAAAAACAAGCCTACTAGCAACGAGTCGGCCGAGTCAATGCCCACTAGTGGTGGCGTGGACTCGGTGGTCGAGTTACCGGGTCGCGCATTAAATGCTCTGCTCGGGTTCGGGTCGGGCGACGGGGCTTCGAATTGTTCCTATGATCTTTCGCTAAGCGGCTCTCCTGCGACTACAACAGCAACGACGTCGTTCAAGGCGGAAGAAGGGTGCGAGGATGTGTCTGATCCGGACGAGGCGAGCTTGTCGTTGCTCGAGAAATGGCTACTCGACGAAGGAACTTTTTTGACCGCCGTTGGGAATTAACATGAGTTTCTTACTGCGGTGCTCGAGTATAAAAACAATTAATTTTTAATCTTTTTTTTTACTGGCAGCTAATTGATGGGTAATGACTAAAAATTCGTTGATTATCATTTTCCCTATTTTATTTACAATATTGCTCCCAGAATGGACTGATGTGCTCGGAAATGAAGATGTAGATAAGATTGATATCGTTGGATTAGTGAGATTTTAATCACATAAAATGCAATCCAATGATATCAGTTTTATTTACAATGGAGTCACTAATGTAGTACTGTTTTTTTCTTCTTCGTGCAAGTAATTGATTTGTCTGTAGAAGTTTCTTAATTGTATTTTTCCGTTGACGATTACTTTTCTACAATCACTCATCAGATTTAGATGGAGTGATCTTAAATGAAGTGCCATTGAAATATTGAAATTTTATATTTTCCGTATGGTACCCGTCAATTGGTTAATGTTGCGAGGGTTTCTCATATGGTGTAAGTGTGTAACAGTAACGTATACGGTAATACTGCAGACATGGTTTCATTTCATGGATGTAAAGTTAGGAAGAGGAAGTAGTTGGGCCCGTTCCAGAGTCCAAAGCGGAAGCACGCCAGGCTTTCAACCCGCCACCCAATATGGGCTTACATTGCTGGGTCAGGCCCAAACCTTGACAATCATAGTCAATTATAGTCTATAGACCATAGTTAGTAAAATATGGTACGGGAAAGTTACGTAAAAAATACGTACGTGTATTACAATTCGTCTCTAAACTAAACTTACGTTTCATAGTACGTTAATAGTCATAAATATATAAAATTAATCATTTTAAAAATAATAGTAAAGTTAACAATTTAATTCATAAAATACAGATAATAAACGTGTTATATGGGTTTTATACGTGTTTAGTATGGGAGCCATCAAATGAACGAGAAAAAATGAAACGGGTTGACAATAATACGGATCCGGAAGTTTTAAACGGATAAAGTACGTACGGGTACATATATGTGTATTAAACAAACTATTTATTATAGACAAGGCCAATACTACGGTGCCGTAGATAAAAGTGCGGCATCGTTGCAACCATATTCTATTGGGCCACGTGCATTTTATGTGGCATTGATTGCGTTGCTGGAAGCCCAAACCAAATCAAACAAACCAAACTCGGTTCAACCTTTTACAGCCCGACAGAATATATGATTTCTTTTTCACTCTTTATTTTATAAGTATTCCTCCATCACCGCGCCGCTTCTCTCTCCTCCATTGTCGTCGACGCTCTCTCTCCGCCACTGCCTCGCTCTCTCCTCTATCATCGTCTCTATCTCCTCTGTTTTCCCGATGACGACGACCAGATCTGCTTTCTCTCTCTCCAACGATGCCGCCTCCGTCGCGATCGCCTTCCTCTCTCCATCATCGTCGTCGCCCCCCTCTCTTCCATCGTTGTCGTCGCTGCCGTTCTTCGACAAATCTGCCTCTGGCGGTGTTTATCTCTCCTCCACCACCGTCGTTGACATCACTTCTCTGTCCTCCACCGTCGTCGCCGCCATCTCTCTTTCCACAGACGTCGCCGCCTTTCTCTTTCTCTCTCTCTTCCACCGGCGTTGTGATCTCTCTCCTCCACTGGCGTTGGGATCTTTCTCCTAAGCCATGTCTTTCTCTCTCTCTGGACAACGCAAGAAAGGGGAAAGGAGGAGACGGATGAAGAGGAAAAAAGAAATAAATAATAATAAATAAAACAAAATAACAAAATAGGAGTTAATGAATTTCTGATAATACCAAAACTACCCTTCTCATTTAATAATAATTCATGAATTTATCTGGACCATTAGATCAATCCAAAGGCTAAGGGGGCTTAGTCAAGTGGCTAAGGACCCCCTCTTAGTAGGGGTGGGCATTCGGTCGGTTCGATTTCGACCGAACCGAAATTATGAATACCGGGTCCCCGAATTCTTCCAAACCTCAAACCGAATTCGAACTGAATTATAATTCGGTTCGGTCGGTTTAAACCGAATTATAATTCGGTTCGGTTCGGTTTTTCACCCAAAACCGAATTTGTTAAAGTACTTGTATCTTCTCACTTTTAAATCATTTTTAACCCAAATATAAACAATAAATATGTAATTATATGCATCATCAATGATAAAATCAAACTTTTCAATACATAAGTCATAAAACATTTCAAATATTTAAGTCTAAAAACAACTACAAACATAAAAATCCACCATTTGGAGCTTGCAATTATAGTATTTCGGTTTTTCGGTCGGAAATTCGGAAATTCGGTTCGGTTGAGAGAACCCTGGTTTCCGAACTATCCATATTTTCCTTCCGAATTCCGAACCGAATAGCATTAATTCGGTTTCGGTTCGGTTTATTTCGGTTTCGGTTCGGTTCGGGTTTACCGGACCGTTTGCCCACCCCTACCTCTTAGTCACCAAATCCAGACTCCATCATGCCATGTTCTTGTTATCCCGATTGTTTGACGCGTTTAACTTCTTTTCTTGTTTACATATTAGATAGGTTTTAAATATGTATTTGTACTTTGATCGATATTGGATCCTTCCTCGAGGTTAGAGTAATCGAATGGTAAAAAAAAAATTTAGGGCCCGTGAAACTATATGAGAAGAGGGAAAAAGGTAAAATCTAAGGGGTTGTTTGCTCTTGAGGTTTTGATCAAGGATTTTGATCCAAAATCCCACACTTATGAGATTATGTTTAAAATCCATGTTTGGTGTTAAAATAGTGTTGAATTATAACTTGCGAGATCTATGTATGTTGGATTATTTTGGGACCAAAATTCGTAGGTCCACTAACTATAAAATCTCATCCAATTTGGTGAACTTTTATGCTAGGCTAAAAATCCATGAAAATAAATTACAAAACTATCATAAACTCTTTTAAATTTCCCTACGTTGTCCTCGTTATCCATTTATAATTCTTGTTAATTTTTTTATTGTAAAACAGCAACCTGGCTCATTTTACATTAACTTTTTCGACATTTAAGCCACTTGCCTTTGAATTAGTGTTTACAGTTGTTCCTTTCTCCACAAGGGACAATACTCCTCCATCTCATAGCAACACAATAATCCAGATTCCCCTGCCCAATTCCATTTTGTGTACCAAGTAGGCTCAGAATATCCTACGAGATCGAGTCATCGTAACATTTCATAAATTATTGGACTTGCGTATCTTTCTTATTAGTTCATATTAAGTAATTAATTAGGGATATTATTATTGTTTATTTGTCGTAGTAGGGTTTGGTTATCGTGTCCTTGTGGGAGTAGTATTCAAGTTCTAGATAGGAAAAGGTAGAGGCTTCTATGCCTATAAATATGTACTTATTTCGTTCGTTTAATGTCATGAGAAGATTGGAACCCAATTTATGTTTGTTTGCTTTGATTATTTCTTTCGTCCAGTTTAGTAGTTTCGTAGCTATTTTGGGGTTGTTCTTGCCATCAAGGAGATCCTCGACTCGAGAGCGTCGAGCAACGTATCCAAAAGTGCAGAGAAGTAAAGATCCAATACGTAGAATTCCGCCCCTACGGCGCATCTACGTAACATGGTGATGTTAAATTTAGGTACCTTTGTGTAATTTACCAGCCTTAGTCATTAGGGTTTAGCGTGGCCTCTATATAAATAGTTGTTTGTACAGCTGCTTCCTTAACGTAATAAGATTGACTTTGGAGGGTTTAGGCTCTCCCGTGGACTAGTCCTGACACTCAGGGAAACCACGTTAAATCCGGTGTTATTGTTCTCGTTTTACTTTGACATGGTATCAGAGCCACGTCGATTCAAGGCTTGATTGGTTTTGTGATTGGTGATCTTGGCGCAGCAGGCGGATCGCAGCAGCAGTCACGTACAGAAGAAGGTTGCAGCTGAGGGTCCTAAGATTTGTTCATTGTTCGTGAGGTGTGTTCTTGCGCAGTTGGTGATCACTGATCCGGTTGGTGTTTGCGAGAATGGATTCGAACAAGGCGGATACGATCGCAACTAAGTTTGATGGGAAAAACTTTCCCTTGTGGGAGTTCCAATTTCGGAACTACATTGCAGGTAGGAAATTAACGTCGGTCTTGATGGGGGAATCGAAGGCACCTGGTGCGGATTCTACCCAACAACAGAAGGATGACTGGGCGGCTCTCAACGCCCAGGTTGTGACCGCTCTCCTGGGATCGCTGGATGTGCAGACTGCACTAAGCCTCCGTCGATTCGAGACAGCTCACGAGATGTGGAAGCACATTTGCGGTACGTACTCTCAGGCAAATACCTCTCGTTTGTATGAATTGGAATTGGAAATGGCTGGCCTTGCTCAAGGTGATAGGGATGTACGAGGGTATTATAAACATTGCTTGCACATCTGGACCGAGTACGATCTAGTTACAGCCTCGCTGTTGTCTGGGGATGCATCGGCCGAGATTCAGAAGGAAAGAACAAGGACTCGTGTCATGCATTTTTTGATGAAGTTAAGGTCTGATTTTGAGCCTATTCGAGCCTCACTAATTCATAGAGGGGTTACCAATCTTGAGGAAGTTGTGGCTGAACTGATTAGAGAAGAAACTAGGCTCAAAAGTCAAGCACAAATTGATCATGGATCATCGGAATCAGCCTTTGCTGTTGGACGTTCAAATAACTCCACTAGGCCTAAATTTGGCCAACAAGGCTCGGGTGAAGTTGTTTGTCATTATTGCCAAGAATCAGGCCACGTCCAAATTCATTGCAGGAAAAGGAACTACTGCAATTATTGTAAAAAGGCAGGACACATTGTGTTAGAATGCCCAACCTTGCGCAAGCAAGGAAAACCCATTCGCTTCCCCAACCACGGAGCAGCTGGCGCGGGAACCTCAGCTTCTCGTCCTGCGTCGTCGCGCGATGCAAAGGCAGCCTATGTTGTGGCAGCTTCTCATCCTGCTGATGGGAACTCATCACAAAACAATGGAGGGTCCTCCTTAACTCCTGATCAGATCCGTAAAATGGTGCAAGAAGCTTTGAATGAGGCGCTGAACTCAGCCTTTGCTACGGGTGTCACGTCGGGTAAGTATCCTCGTTGGTTGATTGATTCGGCGGCTTTTAACCATATGACCTCTGCTCGTTCTATTTTTGATAAGCTGCAGCCTGCTGCTCGTATGAACCTTCGAGTAGCGAATGGTGATCAGGTGGCGGTTAAGGGTCGTGGCACTATTTCCTCTCCTGCCATTACCCTTCCGAATACTCTATACGTTCCTGGTCTTCTTCCTAGTTTGGTTTCGGTTGGGCAGCTGACTGAGGAAGGTTGCAATGTGACTTTTAATTCAAATGGTTGTGTGGTACAGGACAAGAGGACGGGGACGGTGATAGGGACAG